CTGCAAAGCTAGGAAATGCGGCGTCGACGGCTGCAACGCCCATCACCACGCTCTCCTTCACACCCGCAAGGCCCGCACGCCTGAAGCGTCGGTTAAACCGGATGAAACCGTGCTCGTCGCGTCGAGTGTTAGTAGTAGTGCGTCCATACTGTTGAAAGTGTGCCCCATAACCGTGCGCGGACCGCGCGGCAAGGAAGTATACGTATGCGCTACTTGACGAAGGCTCTCCATATCGTTGATCGACGACGACTTAGCTCGCGAGTTAGGAGCGGAAGGACCGGTAAAGCCGCTCAATATTAGAGGCGTAAGTAATAGTCAACGCGAGGCAAGTAGTAGATTAGTTAATATAGCCGTCCTTTCCGATCGGCTCGACTCATTGGCACTGCGAAGAGATGTTGCATCTCTTAGCATTTTCTTTCGCATTTACCATGGGGAGTGCTCTGAGGAATTGTTCGGATTAATCCCAGCCGCCAAATTTCACGAACGCACATCGCGGCAGAACTCCCGATACCATACACACCATCTGGATGATTGGCGGTCCACCACTGTGCGATTTAGAAGATGTTTTCTTCCTCGCACAACTTCCTTGTGGAATAGTTTACCACCAGCGATTTTTCCGGACCGATACGACTTAGAGACCTTCAAGAAAAGAGCCTACTCCTTTTTAAAAGGCCGGCAACGCATCTGCAATTCCCCTGGTGTTGCGGTTGTTCATGGGCGGCGGTAGTCACTTACCATCAGGTGAGCCGCATGCTCGTTTGCCCCCTCTCCAATAAAAAAAAATATATAGGGATACGTGGCAAGACGCGCAGCGAGATGTATAATATAAGCGCGCGAACGATAGCATTTAAAGATAGGCTCGCAGTCTGTGAGTAGGGAGTGCTTACGGTTGAAGCACTTACGTGACTTACCGAGTTCGGTGTGTTACAACGACGCGAAGCCGAGATTGTTATTAGGCGCCGACAACTGGCATTTTATAATTACCCGTAATTTGAGAATAGGACGTCGAAGGCAGCCCATAGCTGCACGTACGTTATTAGGGTGGGTAATTCAGGGAACCGTGCCGCGGTTAACGTGTAGGGAAGACGGCGAGACCGTATTACACGTAGCGAGCACTAGCGGACGGTTAGATAGGGACATCCGAACGTTTGCCAGTCAGGACGAGGAGCTAACGGAACTCCTCAAACGGCAGTATGAGATAGATTCTATAGGTATCTCGCTAAAGAGTAGGCCGCGACGGGATGAGGAGCGCGCTGTCGACATATTCCAGCGCAGCGTCAAGAAGGTCGGCGAGCAATACCAAGTTGGACTGCCATGGAAGGACGACAACGTGCGGATGCCACCCAGCTACGAAATGGCAGCTCGAAGACTACGGACGATTGAAAGGAAGATGGACCAGTCGCCGGAGTTTCGTGACGCCTACACAGCCCAGATAGACAACCTCCTGGCGAAAGGATACGCAAGGGAAGCCGAGGGGACGGAGCGAGAGGATCCCGAGAGCTGGTACCTGCCACACTTCGCAGTACGGAATCCGAACAAGCCGGGGAAGACAAGAGTAGTGTTTGACGCGGCAGCACGCGCATCCGGTAGATGTCTTAATGATTATTTACTCGACGGCCCCGACTTATTACGGAACTTACCGGACATACTGTTTCGGTTTAGAGAGAATGAGATAGCCGTGTCCGCGGATATTAGGGAAATGTTCTTGCGTGTGAAAATCGACCGTCACGATCAACCCGCGCAATTGTTTCTTTGGCGAGGAAACGAGCGACACAGCATGGAGCATGCACCTTCTACTACGACTATGTTGCTCCAATCTACAAGAAAACTGCTGACCCAGTTGCACAAATTCTCGGGAAGCCCATAGGAAGGGAGCTTCGAAATAACCACTTTATGCCAAACCCGATCGAGGGCCTTCGCTATGTCCAAACTAACGGCCAGGGTCTCACTCTCGTTTGCTGATTTATGCGTCAGGTAACCAAGAAGATCACCAGCTGAGCAACCCCGAAGGAAATCGTACTGGCGGTCACTTTTCTGTTGGTGATCCTCACCCTTGATGAGCTGGCAGTTCACTATGGTTTTCATTATTTTAGAGAATAAGTTGGATAGGTCTGAGTGGTCGGTTTTCGGTTATTTTTTAGGGTTCTGGTGCACCAAAGCTGTCTTCTTTGATTTCGGGACTACGCCTAGGGAGAAAGAGTTTTAGAAAAGACACGTTACGACCGGTGCAAACTAGGGAGCACACGTCTTCAGCACAATGAGAGGAACTAATTAGGCCCACTAGACTTGACGTCTTGAGTAGTGCTATGCGCACCGATCGCTGTGTAAACCGTATCGTACCGACCTGAAAGCGAGATTATACTTTTTTTTAACAGCGCTGGTGAAGCACTCCTATTATAGCGCGATGCAATTTTACAGCAGCGACCAAACCAGGCATAACAGATGATAGAATAAAGAGTCCCATTCCCTGAAGTACCACATCAGCGACAGAAGGAAGTTGGGATCATCGCAAGAAGCATACCCACCCCTGTCGTCAAGCGAAGGATGCAAAAAAAGACCGCATCCTGTCCCATCGGCCGCCCTATAGTGCCAAACATGGCGGCGATCTGCAGAACGAAACTGCGATGGGAGTGTGAGTGGCACCATAGTCCGGATGAGACAATGGTCAAATGAGTCAAGAGGGGCGTCGACGGACACTTGATATCCGTCCGTTTGAGAGGGCAGCAGAAGGTCCAACAAGGAAGGTTCACGATCCTCCACATCTAGAATCGGCGTAGGTGAAGTAACCATTTGTGTCGGACTATATGCCAAAGTTACGTCATAAACAGATCGGTTAAACGAGTAACAAGCCATTCAGCGTGCTGACCGTTAAAATTACCAAGAATCATGATCTATGCAGGCAGGATCTGTTGTAGCACGGAGTGTGCAGCGATTTGGACGTGGTCGATGAGTTGGTCTGTGTCGACATTACCTATAGAGGCACGCGTAGATGCGAAGATGGTCGTCGCTGAAGTTCAAGACTGCCGAGGCGTCGGAACAGATGTCCTCTCTGACGTATACGCAAACTCCAGCCCGAGGCACAAAGGTGTTATAATTTGAACCCCGGATAGGAGAGAAGTGTCGACCGGGGAGGGCACCGGCGCCTCGGTTAGAAAGAGCAAGGTCAGCTTCGCTGTGGTCCTAGTGGACTTCTTTAACGTTCGAATGAAATCCCCTGATGTGACAAAATTCACAGACAGCTTGGCAGGGGTCACCTTTGTTTTATTGCTCTATTTCCCACGAGCAGTATTAGTCTTGAGTGGAATTATAACCCCTCCCCCTTCCCCAGGATACACGAGGCAGCCTGAGCACCTAAGGAAGAGTAGGGTAGCTTGGGCGTGGATGCTCAGCCAGGGATTCTCCAATGCCAGGGGTGCTGGTAACCTCCTGGGATGGGTTCTTATTTAATATGTTAAGAGGGAGAGGGCTTAGGCCTTCGACCACCTGCACTTAACAGGCGTAGTAAGCTTCTACTTCACACAGGTTATCTGTAAGGTCGTGGGTCTCCTCGGTTCGAGCTGGTCCACCCTTTCATTACAGCTCCTCATTTCATGTCTTACCAGGTCGTCACTCCATCTAGTCTGGCCCACCCGTGCGACAGTAAAAGCTGCGTGTGGCTCTTCCACTGTTATGTTGTCTGCCTATATTATTAACTGTAATCTACTTCGTCATTGTTCATGCGTTACACATATAATACTTAGTAGTAAGTAGCTTTGCTTTATTATGCCCTGCAGTGGGCAACAAGGAGCTGATGATGAAGTAGTTTTGCACCTTTAAAGTATTTAGTTTAGTTTAAATAGGGCCCCAATTTCATTTTTGCCCCGGGGCCCTTGGTTACATAGCTACGCCACTGGCTGAAATAAAAGCATACCAATTCATTTTCTTTTAATTTTCCACTTTTTCATTTTTTTTATTTAACTATTAATACATTTTGAAAAAAGTATGAAATGAAGTTTTGCAGGTACAAAAGCTGTGTCCCTTCGGCGGTGTAAAATCTATAAAGACGACAAGTTGTTAAGCTACGTTGAACAAAACGCGTAAGCGCCATGAAATCCCTTCCGCTAACGAAGTTTTGTTCGAGAGAAAATATACTCTATAAGCGATCTGTATGTTTTAATAGCTTGGTTAGACGACATTTTTAGCGCTGCAGCAAATGCTTTGGTCAGTCTAAGACGCGTTCGCCTAGCGCAATCCGCCGCTGTCATTAAGTGGATACGTTTTTGTTTAGAATAGCTTCTTCTCTAGTACGTAGTACATATAACTTAATGATTACAGCCTATCAAAGTCCACTGCTAAGCATATATTTCCTCATAAGAAGGATATTTGCCATAGTTCCCACAAAATTTTATATTACGGCCGGTTGGACGACGAAAAAAAAACACGACAACCAACCACACATGAATACTTTTGTACCTCCTTTTATTGTGACATGTTTCGTCATTAATACAACATTTTAAAATATATCAAAATTGATACGAATTCGATACTCTCAAATACATATCGATATATCGAAATATCGCGATTTATATCGACGATATATATATATCGATATTAATATTAAAAATAAAAAATATCGATTTATATCGACGATACATTTCGATATTTTTATAAAAAATATCGATATATCGATATTTCTTGCCCAAGCCTATCTCCTGGTTCAGTTCCCTCTGTCGCCTTCTACGACACACACGCGACGAAATGGGGTAATGAATATTCAAACACTACAGTCAAATTTGGCTCTTGGAAACACTTAAATTGGTGACAAATAGTTTTATTATCGCCAAGCGTGGTGATAACTAACATGGTCATTGAAAATGTCTCACAACATGTATATAAATTGGCTCTCATACCCTACAAGTCGGAATACAGCAGCTATTCAAAGATATTTTTAATAATAATAATAATAATAAAGTAGTGAATATGATAAATAATAAGTTTCTGAAGTTTTATAAAACCCTTACCAGTTATGGCCATTTCCAAATCCATCTCAGTCATAACAAGGTCGTTATTTTGTTTACTCTTCTTTCTTGCATGTCTGAAAGTAGTAACTATTTTTAATTCGTAATTACTTATAGAGGCTGACAAAAATGGCTGGTTCAAAAGTGATGGTATGGGGGCTGCCAATAGGCCCTTGAACAACGTCGTGGATTCTTGCCTCTCATTACCCTCTTCACAAGAGGAGGCATATGCCCAAGCAGTAGGACGTTAGAAGGACATCACTCTATTTTGGCAGAAACCTACAAAATATTTACACCCCAGGCATGCAGGTTTTACGTCATCATTGAATATGTGAAATCATTCATTTGTAATCAGAGAGAACAGAACAGAACTGAAGTCAATATTATAATCACTAGACATCGGATTATATGCACTAACAAAGTGCCAAAATATGCATGCAAATATGCACTAAAAAAGGCCGAAATATGCACTTAAAACTGTTGATATACCCAAAATATGCACAATGCAAAATCAAAAAACCATTTTAATTTTAATTATATATTTTAACTAGCTGTTCCCCGCGACTTCGCTCGCGTGTTAGGGTTTTTATGTTTTTGCGCGGAACCCTAATTCTTTTTCTTAAATAAAAGTAGCCTAAGTTACTCCTTATAAAATCAGCTATCTGCTAGTGAAAGTGCCGTCAAAATCAGTCCAGCCGTTTCGAAGATTAGCCGGAACAAACAGACAGACAGACAGACAAAAATTTTAAATTTGTATTTTAGTTATAAGTACCGTATTTACTTACATGTACATTTAGTAAAAAACTGTAATTTTGACATTACAAACAGACACTTCAATTTTATTTATTTGTATAGATTAAAGGCGCGGTAAAAAAACAGAGAAATGTTCTCAAAATTATGCAGTTTTTATGACAATATACAATTATGTATTTTTCCAAATTTTCGAGCGCAAATTTGTGACGCTTGTCACCCAGAATCAATTTGTACGCTGAAAACGACATCTCTACTTCAGCTGACGTCATTGGACAAAATTTAAAATTTGGCCAATCAGTTCAGTCAGCCACTGCGCTCGCGCCCTACACGTCTTCGTCGCCTACGTACCTCCCACTAATAAACGTAATATACACGATTGGGAAAAAAGGATAAAATATGCATTAACGCCGTAATTAGTGAGTTATATGAATTTGCATATTTATATAATGCAAATGCATAAAATCCGATGCCTAATAATCACTGTAGCCTATGGACATCTGCAATCTACTCTAAAGATGTTTTTTAAATACAGCTTGGTACAGACGGCACAGCAGCAAAGTATCTAACCGCTTACATGGGGCTCCATGGAACAAGTTTGTTCAAAGCAAAGAACAATGGCAGAAAAATAGTTGAAAAAATTATTGCGTCCAGAAATAAGTTATATATAAAATGAGTTTTATTATTTTTCTATGATTTTTTTTTATGAATAAAAATGTATTTTAATTAAAGCCACAGAAAAAAACATAAATTTTTGGGAATATCAAATGACAAATCATTTTGCTCTATTCAAGTGTTGTTATTATAGTAATATTCATACTATTTTCGTATACACTTTGTAAGACTACCAACACAACACACAAACACAAAATATTTTTATATTAAGTTATTATTAGTAATAACTATACTATCAGTAACAATAATAATAAAAGTGATATTATGGTTGAAAAGAAGTCTCTTACAAAGAACCTCCTACAATAATACATTATCTCAATCATAGTAATATGTAACAATTCCATTTAATGTTATGGCAACAATACGTCAATGTTTTTTTTACTGAGTTTACGACTCTGGGTTCTAGCCCTTCTGAGAATATCACTGTATGACACAAAGGCCCTGGAGCCATGCCAGAAATCTACATTTATAGTATGCAAATATATAATAGAGATACAATAATCTAAAAACTCTCAATTATGTAGGTAGGGCACATTATGTTGAGAATGTATTAAGCTAACATCAAACAACCACAAGACGCATGACTTTTTCCAAGTGACATAAGACATAACCTAAAAAGGTTCAAATCTAAATATTTTTTTTTGACGCCTTCTCAGGACAATATTCTTTGACAGAGTTATTAAGGGAATGACGCTTAACATTTTAAGATATTTTTGATATATAGACGCTACCATTCATTCTAAACTAATTTTATGTATGAGAGTCTGCCATTGTTCTTTATGCTGCAGAAGTGAGTAGCAAAGTCGGCAAGGGACGCCATAGAAAGGTTATTGACCGAATTGGTGATATATTAAAGATGGACCCAAAATACCCTTAAACCAACGACTATATGTGTATAGATAGATATTTTATTTTTATATAAAAAGGGCGACAAACGAGCACATAGTCCACCTGATATTATGGATGTTGGGGATGCTGTGGCTGTTGAAATGTGAAATAAGCGAGAGAGGTGTCAGAATTCATGCCAAATGAAAGTCCACAGTCTTTTATACATGGTAGAACCATGCTGCAGCTTAGTAGTATAGTTGTAGCACGAATGGGTTGGCTTGACCGGGGAAGGACCACGCTCTCAAAGAATACCAGAAAAACAGCAGCTTAACACTGCTTTATTTCGTATGGTGAGTGTAGAGAACTGGAGACCACTTTTACTGGAAAAGAGGCATTCCATCTTAGTCCTCACGGGTGGCAGCGCTTTTGTATTTTGATTCTTTATTGAGGATAGATGTAGCTATGTCTATGGGGCACAGGAACCACTTATCATCAGGTGGACTGTGTGCTCGTCTGTCACCCTATCCTATTAAGAAATGAGAAATGCATGATGGTAGACATTTCAGAGAGGTAGGTTGCCTTACGATGTTATCCATTACCGCTCGGCGGTGTTGATTCAACACTAAAATTGCAATTAACAATGCCGGCGAGGATCGAACCCGTGTTGATCACGTACTATGAAATTTACGGCAAGCGCTAAAACCTTGAGGTACTGTGACTCTTTTCCTAGCACGTAGTAGAGTCATAAGTTACATAAAAAAAATCTTACTTAAAGTAATCTTGGACGCCGAAAATAACAAGCGTAAGTTTGACATCGGCCATGTCGCGTATCTGGGCGACATGTCTCACAAGTGTGTGTTCGCACACATACGTGACTACATCTTGAGCCGTGATGACGTATAAACCACGATCACAGCGCTCTTCTGGTGACGTATTATTTACCTAAAATAAACATATTTACAATTTACAGACAATCGGATTTCCGAACGGGTCGGCAACACACATACGGAATCCCGTTTTGCCCGCAAAATTTCGAACGGAAAAATACCGTACGTGTGTGGCGAGTCATAGATTTTATATGGACTAGCTGCGTTCGGGATTCCGAATCAGAATATCGAAACGGAATCTCGAAACAGAATTCCGTATGTATGTGGCCGGTCTAAGTATAACAACTTGGAAAGCAACGACACCAAAGGAATAATAATATGTAGTGGATTTTCTTACGCCGCCTTTACATGGCAAGATGGTATGCTAGCCAGAAAATGTCAATAAACTCTGTGTCTGCTATGGCCTACCACATAGGGGCTCTTCAAACTAGTCATAAATTTTTTTTTACACAAATTTTGGTTAATTAGTTTTTAAAATCTTTAACAAAATTTATTAAATAATATTCTCAAATTGAATTGTGTAAGCTCTCTTGAAAGTATGTTTATGCCTTTTTCTAGTCTGGCTACACCTTACATGCAGCTATTAACTTCACTGTAATAGTAAAGTAAAGTAAAGTTGCAGAATATTTAGGTCCCGCTGCTGGACACAGGCCTCCTCTCATTTCTGAGAGGGTTTTAGGGCAAGGAAATGTCCGCCGCGCTGCCCCAATGCGTGTTGGCGAACTTCACATGTCTTCGAAATAATTTTTTTTTCTTATTTCTCAGACATACAGGTTTCCTCACGATGTTTTCCTTCACCACCGAGCACGTGGTAAATCAGCACTTAAAATTACAATTAACAATTTCATTGGTGCCAGGGGGGATCGAACCCGGGTTGTTCGAGTACTGTGAAGCTTACGGCGAGCACTACCCATCTGAGCTACCACGGCTCTATACTGTAATAGTAATTAAAATATATTACCTGACCATATATGGAAACCAGTGAGGATGGCACACTACGTCTCCACAGCACTAGACCTGGTTCGAAGAGATCTGAAGAAGACAGGATCCTTACACCACCCATGTGAATTTCGTTTTCAAGATCTTCCGTGTACCATTTATCCAAGAACGTTGGGTGCATTACTATTTCTATAAACTATAAATTTGTAAGAAAATGAAAATAATTATTGGGTGATTTATCTTCATTTACATATATTTTTGATCAATACAGCCATTATTCTGACACCAGTCCCATAATTTAGTAGAATACATAGCAGCCTACCCTTATTCATGTGGAGCTGGCGGAGAATGTTAAAATGCTTTTACATCCTAATTTTATTAACAGTATTTTAATTAAACTTAATTATTCAAATGATGGAATAAGCTTTTTTATAAAATCTATGCATTCATCCATATATAAAAGCCTATTAAAGTCCACGCAGTCCACACAGGCCTCTACCATAGATTGCCTCATATTGGAGCATTACTCCATAGTTGCCACGCTTGGCAGGTGAGAAGGCTACTGCAGTCTTTAATGATTGCTGCTGTTATGAGATGCCGCTGCCCATCTCCTGTTTCAGTATCCCTCTGTTGTCTCTTGCAAGAACCACAGAACAGTATGGGGTAATTGATATTCTTACACTGCCACTATGATGTACGAGGGGTGTTCAATGTATTCTCGGTAACATACCCAATGTTAGAAAAAAAGATAAAATTATGAAATATTTTTTATATTTCTATATAGTCTCCCTAGTTTTTTATATTTCTATATACTTGTTCATGAAAAAAGCTTTTCTATTCCCTTAAAAAAAATATTCTTCGTCTTGGCCTGAAAAATGCTTATTTACAACAGACTTGAGCTCAATATCGTCAGCAAATCGCTTTCCCCGAAGGTCTTTTTTTAAGTTTGGGAATAAAAAGTAGTCATTAGGGGGCTAGATCTGTTCTGTATGGTGGGTGTTTAATTTTCTCAAACCCACAGTCTCGTACCTTAGCCTTGAAGAGTCGCGCCGTGTGAACCGATGTGTGATCATGAAGAAGCAGCACTCCCTTGGTCAGTTTTCCTCTTCTCTTTTCTTTTATTGCTTCTCTCAGAGGGCGTAAAGTGGCTGAGTGTTTGTCTGCGTTGATGGTTTTACCTTTTTTTATGTACTCCATCAATAGTATTCCTTTGCAATCCCGAAACACTGTGGCCATGATTTTACCGGCCGATGGATTAACTTTGAACTTCTTGGGGGGTTTGATCCATTTTTATGCCATTGCATAGACTCTTCTCAAGATCATAGTGGTGAACTCACATTTCGTCTCCTGTAACTATCTTATCAAAAACACTTGTTGGGACATCACCACACAGCTCTAAAAAAGCCCTACAACAGTCAACTCACGCCTGCTTATGAAACACAGTGAGCATTCACAGCAGACTTTTGTGAGGTAGAGGTAGTCACGCAATATGGTGTGTGTGATACCAACGATAGGTGAGTAATTTCTTCTAATACTAGTTATTCAATAATTTTACCATAATCTTCTGTAGCCGCCTGGGCCCACCTGGGCTGGGGTCATCTTCGATGCTTTCCCTGCCTCTTTTGAATTCACTTGACCACTTCTGTACTCTGTTGACATTGAAGGAGCAATCTTGGTAAACGGCCACCATTTCTTCATGGATTGCCACGTTTAGAAACGAAAATTTTAATTAAGGGACAAAAAGTAACTTCAGAGATAAACTTGGTAACGCCTAAGACATAAAAAAAACATGAATTACTTTTAAACATAATGACTTTGGAGTAAGTAACAATCATAAGTAAGGAACAATATAATATCACATTTAGGAGAAATACTCTACTATTATTAATCAATCTATTCACAATCTTGAGATAAAATTTCGACAATAATTTCTTTTCAAATATATTAATTGAAACAGCAAATTGATACATATCTTCTTCCAGAAGACTTGGTACCGGCAAGATGCTAATAACATCTTCATAATTTACGAAGCTGATATCCCTCTTGTCTAGTCTGAACTTCTTTGCATCATTATCAACTACCCGTAAAAACATAACTTTAATTTCACCGTCTTCTTCTATAGAGTAGAAAGCCTTGCAAGCGTAAGAATAAATGTTCTTTTTTTGTTACTGCCATAAACATAAACGTAAAAAAATCACCAATTGATACGTAAGTTTTGTTGTAACTAGTGGAAGCCACTTAATCCCATTGAAAACGAAATTTGTCATCTATAGCCATCGATTTACGATTTTCCTTATCAATATGTGACTCGTCTTCATCACTATCAGATGAACATACATAGACAGCTCGGTAAATACTTCGTTGGGATGGTATATTTTGGATTTGTTTGAGCACGGCAAGAGGAACGTCTTCATCAGACGGATCTTGAACACAGTGTCTTTCTGGTTCGAGGATTTGCATAGCAGTCAACATTTGCAGTATTACAATTCACATCGTCTTTTTTTCCGTAGCAGTAGTATGCTACAATTGGTCTTCGCTTTTTTATGATACTTTCTGTGTATTCTGCGTGTTTCTTTAAGTAATTCTGGTTTCTTTCTAGATCTTTCAATAAGACCAGTCTTGAAAATGCTTTTAAGCAGTCTTTTCTCGCTAGGACTCCTTATCGTCTTGTACCGATCTTTTATAGACTTTTTTTTTAATTTATTTGGGCCAATAAACAGTTTCACAATAATATTTTTACAAATAATATACATACACACAATGAAATAATTGTGACACCAACACCGTTAACCACAAATTATTAAATAAAAAATTTTGCGTCCTAAAAGTTAGTGTTTGGCTTAAGTAAGTTGACCATGGATTTAATTCAATCAACTTGCGTGGTGTTGAATTCAGGCAACATATTAAAGAAAACTGATTTTTTAAATTGTATTCTGAATGACGAAATTTTGAGTTTAAGGAGATGGAAGGAATACTTTGAAAGCGTGTTTATGAGTGATGAGACGTTTGAAATAAATGAAATAGAAATTCCGAAAGAAGAGGAAATAGATAGAGATATAAGTATAGATGAAATAATGAAAGCAATGAAAAGTATAAAAGCAGGTAAGGCAGCCGGTTATGATAGAGTATCTCTCGAAATGCTAAGGGCTGGAGAAGGAGTGGTGGCAGACCTGCTGTACACCTTGTTTAATTTATGTTGGGAACTTAAGCGGGTACCGGGAGACTGGTGCAAAGCCGTGATAGTTTTTTTTTTATAGGAGAGGGGGCAAACGAGCATGCGGCTCACCTGATGGTAAGTGACTACCGCCGCCCATGAACAACTGCAACACCAGGGGAATCGCAGATGCGTTGCCGGCCTTTTAAAAAGGAGTACGCTCTTTTCTTGAAGGTCCCTAAGTCGCATCGGTCCGGAAAAATCGCTGATGGTAATCGATTCCACAAGGAGGTCGTGCGAGGAAGAAAACATCTTCTAAATCGCACAGTGGTGGACCGCCAATCATCCAGATGGTGTGGATGGTATCGGGAATTCTGCCGCGATGTGCGTTCGTGAAATTTGGCGGCTGGGATTAATCCGAACAATTCCTCAGAGCACTCCCCATGGTAGATGCGAAAGAAAATGCAAAGGGATGCAACATCTCTTCGCAGTGCCAATGAATCGAGCCGATCGGAAAGGGCTCGGTCGTCGACAATTCGAGCCGCTCTGCGTTGGATGCGGTCAAGTGGAAGGAGCTGGCACTGGGGAGCCCCTGCCCAGAGATGGGAACAGTATTCCATGTGAGGCCGAACTTGCGCCTTGTAAAGTAGCAGGCGGTGTGCCGGCATGAAATACTGTCCCGCTCTGCTGAGCACGCCAAGCTTTTTAGAGGCCAATTTGGCCTTCCCTTCCAAGTGACCACGAAACTGCACGTCACTCGATATGTCGACTCCGAGGATACCGATACTGGCTGAGGCAAGAAGGGGAGTGCCTAGAAACTGAGGAGATACGACAAATGGGTTCTTTTTAGCGGTAAACGCGCAAACTTGTGTCTTCTGAGGATTAAATTGGACTAGATTTAGTCGCCCCCAATCCGAGACTTTGTTCAGCAAAGACTCGACTTCAGACACAAGTTTGTTCCGGTACTCAGCGACGTTTTCCCGAGAAATATTGGCACGGCCGATGTATAGAGCATCACCAGTGCTGTCATCCGCATAGCAATGAATGTTACCAGTTAGCAACATATCATTGATATGCAGAAGAAACAGCGTTGGTGATAGCACACAGCCTTGTGGAACACCAGCGTTAATAGGCTTGTAGTCAGAGCATGCACCGTCTACAACGACCTTGATGCTCCGATCTGCAAGGAAGCTGGTGATCCAATTGCACAATTTCCCGGGAAGCCCATAGGAAGGGAGCTTCGAAAGAAGCGCTTTGTGCCAAACCCGATCGAAGGCCTTCGCAATGTCCAGACTAACGGCCAACGCCTCCCCCTTGGACTCTATTGCCTCCGCCCATCTATGGGTCAGGTAGACCAGAAGATCACCAGCTGATCGACCCCGACGAAAACCGTATTGGCGGTCACTAATCAGCTGGTGATCCTCAAGGTACCGGATGAGCTGGCAGTTAATAATGGATTCCATTATTTTGGAGAACAAGGAGGTGATCGCGATAGGCCTATAGTTGGATGGGTCTGAGCGGTCGCCTTTTTTAGGGATCGGGTGGACAAAAGCTGTCTTCCATGAATTCGGGACTACGCCTTGGGAGTAGGAGTACCGGAAAAGACGCGTTAGGACCGGTGCCAACTCCGGAGCACACGTCCTCAGCACAATTGGGGGGATTCCGTCAGGCCCACTCGACTTCTGGATGTCCAGGGAGAGCAGTGCTTTGCGAACCGAGCGCTGTGAGAACAGCACATCCGGCATGGAGCACTCACACCGCGGGATGGTCGGCGGTGTTTTCCCCCCGTCATCAAGAGTCGAGTTGGACGCAAAAAGGGAGCCTAAAAGGTCGGCTTTGTCTTTTGCGTCATGGGCCAGTGAGTCATCCTCCCTGTGTAGAGATGGTAGTGATGGCTTACAGAAATTCCCTTGGACAGCCTTGGCGAGAGACCAGAATGCACGGGTTCCCGAAGGAAGGCGAACTAGTTTCTCGCCAATTCTGCCTATGTGCTCTGACTTTGCCTTGGCAATAACTCTTTTGAAGGACCTGGAGGCGAAGTTATACTTCTTTTTAAGTGTGCTGGTATTTACATCCCGAGTCGCCGAAGCCGCAGCCCAGGCTTGATAACACTCCTGCTTACTGCGTAATGCAGTCTTACAGGAGTCCCAATATATAAGGGAAAAGGATCACAGCAGGACTGTAAAAACTACCGTGGTATCAGCCTTCTTAGCATTGTGGGAAAACTGTATGCTAAGGTACTAATTGAAAGAGTTATGAAAGAAACTGATGGAAAAATTTGGGATGTGCAAGCGGGATTTAGAAAGGGGATGGGATGTACGGATCAGGTCTTTTCCATGCGCATGATCGCGGAGAAGTTTTTGGCTAAAAACCAAAAAGTTTTTTGAGCATTCATAGACTTGGAGAAGGCTTATGACAGAGTGGACAGGGATGTGTTATGGCAAACACTGAACTCATTTGGGTTGACCGCTGGTCTGATACAGGCATTGAAGTCTCTATATAGGGACTCTAGTGCTTGTGTCAGGATTAACGGGGCCTACTCGGACTGTTTTGGCATCCATAAAGGTGTCAGACAGGGCTGTGTGGCTTCTCCGTGGTTGTTCAACCTATTTATGGACAGTTGTTTGGAAAATTTGAAAGTAGAAGAATGCTGGTTAAGAATGGGTGAGTTAACCGTCAAATGCCTTTTGTACGCCGATGATCAAGTCATACTTGCATCGTCGGCAGCCGAGTTGCAAATGATGGTTACATTAATGAACAGGACATTAAAAGAAAAGGGAATGAAAGTGAACGCAAGTAAGACGAAAGTTATGGTTTTTGAAAGAGAAGAAAGTAAAACGATATGTGAAATAAGAATAGAAGGGGAGTTGGTAGATATGATAAGGATATAGGACGAGTGAATGCAGGAAATAGAGTGAATGGGGCTCTACACTCTATTGTGAAAAGTCAGAATGTGTCCAAAAAGGCACGTATGGCAATTCACAATGCTGTGTTAGTACCTACTTTAATGTATGGTAGTGAAAGTTGGGTGTGGCAGAAGAAGCATGAGAGTAGAATAAATGCTGTAGAAATGCGGTCATTAAGGAGTATGTTAGGGATGAATCTGAATGACAGAGTGAGAAATTGTTTAACAAGAGAAGAGTGTGGTTTGTAAGATGATGTTGTGACCAGGATTAAGAAAGGAATGCTTCGGTGGTTTGGCCATGTAGAAAGAATGAATGAGGAAAGAGTGACAAAGCAAATTTATGTTGCAGAGGTGAACGGCATAGTCGGGAAGGGTCGCCCTAGGCGAAAGTTTATCGACCAAATTGGCGATATATTAAAAATGGGCCAAATCAAGAGTACCTTTAACCGACGAGCGTGTATGCGTAGGTATTTGGATGTGGAGGAAGCGAGAGAGGTGTGTCAGGATCCAAATGGAAGTCCATAATCTCTGCCTACCCCTCTGGGTGACAGGCGTGAGTGTTTATGTTTATGTATGATTTTTTAAATGAAGTAACATTCGTTGCAAATATATCTAGAGTAGTGAAGTAGCTGTTATAAGCTTCAGTCATTCGAGTCAATGGTGAACGTTTTCCAGCATTCGTTCGAGACTTAGGTGTAGCAAATAGTTTATATGTACGGCATGCTCGAGTGTGTGATCTGACTGGTACTTTAAAACAACTTATCCACTATATCAATACAATCGTACTTATTATTACAAAAGTCGCACAATAGTTTAACTTGTAATTGTAACCTTCTAGTTTTTAGATTAAATATTTTATATTGTTGTAACAATTTTGAGTAAGACAATTTACTATGAAAACATTTAAAATGCATGCATCGTAGGAAGTTCTTTTGCACTCTTTCAAGGCCGTCTGAGTATTTTTTGTAAAAGGGATCCCACACTGAGACGGCATATTCAATTTGTGAGCGTATTAAAGATTTATATAAATACATATATGTACTTGGCCTTTTAAAATCGTCACTAGAGCAGATAACAAACCCACACATCTTATATGCTCTTTTACAAATATTATCAATATGAGTTTCTAGTGTTAGCTTAGTGTCTAATGTAACTCCCAGATCTCTAATTTTATGCACCCTATCTAGATTTGCGCCGCACAGAGAATAATTGAAATAACTTATAATTTTTGCTTGCTAAGTTTCAATTTATTACGGTCACAGTAAGCTGTCAATCGGTTTCAGATCTTCTTGGAAGTTTAAATGGTCACCAATATTTTCAATCGTACGGTCAATTTTGAGATCATCCAAAAGAAAAGATTATAACTTTGGTCAAAAGATTATAACTTTGGTTGTCTCCTGTTTTCTCGTTAGTGTTTACTTCTTTTTGTTTACTTCACATTAGTTTTTTCTTATACTTTTCACACAATCTCTTCAATTTTTTATTTTCCTCCTCCAATTTTTTGTTTGCTCTATATACTTTGGATTTATATTTCTTCACTTTTTTTTCGTCCTTGCTCCCTAGACGCATTTGAAACCGAAGATGCAGGTGGTGTTTGGTGGACTTCTTGAATATCTTGTACTCTAGGTAATGGAGAACTTGGCGGTGTCACATCTATAATACTTTGTAAATTCTTTCTTCTTTTCCTGTATTCCCTTTGACTTAGTTTCCAAATCAAATTGGCTTGTTTCCTTTCTTTCAGCAAAAAATCTTTTGCTAATCTTTTTATTTTGTGATAGTGCTATCTATGTTTTCTTTTGCATTTTCATATTATTCAGGATTTTGTTTCGGCCTTTCTCGATATCGCTTTTGGTTTTCTGCTGCTGTTAAACGTGCCATTGCATATCTAAGGAAGGCAGAAATACAATTTTTAAGTTTCAGTTTATGAGAAATCATTCAAAGCAATATAAGAAATAAAAGATGTAAATTAAAAAGAACTAGCTTCTCCTTTCGACTTTTTACTGAAATAAAAGTATCTTATATCCTCATCTAGGTCACAGTATACTGTGAGTCGAATTTCATCCAAATCCATCAGTATTATTTGTGTTAATAGGTTGTTACTAACAAACACTCACTTTCGCATTTATACTTAACATTTAAGTGAGGATAATTGTCGTTGAATACAATGTGCTAGTGAAATAGGAGAAGTAAATATTGAAAATAAAATAATAATATAACAATCATTTATAAAAATATGTATTGATTTTAGTTTGACGCCACGTGTTTAACAGCACACAAATGTCTCTGAAGTTACCAACAATATCTATGGAGTTACCTTCAAAGTAGCTCAGTATACCGGTAACTGAGGAGACAATTCAAGTACTTTGATCAAAAATACATATTATTATGACTATAAAAAGAATAAGTAACATATGATTTGGTCAATAACCACAATTAGTACTATGTTATATTATTATTAAAAAGTTACTACTTACTTTTTACGATAAAATCCGGTAACTCAGATGACGGCGCAAAAAGGTACGCACACTTCCTGCGAGCGTTCGAGACAGTCTTATTGACTTGTCAGCACTCATCAAAGTTTCGCCCACCATTGTTACCCTATACGACTTTAATGGAGTTAGCAACTGCAAGACATACCATCTAGACGTTCTTTTAATGCAAATTTTTTAGGTAACTCAGCATACACATACAAAAGGAATTTATTGAGGGACAGTCCTAAATGTTTTTTTTGTTCAAACATTTTATGTTTATTTAATAGCAGTGGTTAATCATGATAATGTTTATTGTTTTGTCTCTGTAAAATTAATTTCAAGTTAGAGTTTTATGGAAAAAAATAAATTAAACTGGAATTGACAAGAGAGACTATGATCTGGGGACAAGAACTTCTTGTATGGGAGCTCTTTTTGATATACTGAATTACCCTAAAAATCAAAATAAATTGTTAATTTTCAGCACCTTTAGCATTTTTCTGATGATGCCTGATTAGTTGTTATGTGTTTAGAATACCACTAACCTATAAAAAACTTTTGATAAGTCATTAAGTAAAAATAACTGCTAGGGACACCTAAGTGTGGGTCAAAAAGTTGATGCGCCCATATAAGAAGTAATGAAGTTATCAAGATGAAATTTTATATCTATACTCTCAGGTAGTACCGTTAGCTAATGAATTTTTTTAATTACCCACCTTATTAGCAAATTACCCTAATACCAAGAATACATTGAACACCCCTTGATAAAATAAATTTCGTAGCAAATGTAAAAAAATATTGTCATTTCTCTGTTAGCCCCATTGGACATTTGTTCCAGGAATACTATATTATACCATTGTCGGTTTATACCATATTATTTGAAAAATTTAGAATAGTGATAGAACACACAAAATCTATACCTTCATACATTCTCCTGGTCTGTAAATCTTGTTTAATTTTTGAACCTTTGTCTTTGCAGCTTTCTGTTCAGTAAGCTTTTCTTTCACTGATTTCTTCTTAGTAGCTTTCTTTTGTGTTTTAGGGGCATATTTTTTTTTCTTAGCTGTAAAAGCATTGGTTTATAAGATTCATTTCTATATACCTAACATAATTTGATAAAAATATTTACCAAGACTTACTTTTGGCTGTTGTCCTTGTTGTAAGGCGAGATCCATTTGTTGAACTTGAAGCTGTATTATCTAGTTTGAAATAGGAAGGAAAAACAAGCTTTTGTTCAATAAATTAACAATATACAATATCTGAATAACATGTAATTATTGCATGTATTACTAATAATAATATATTCAGATATTGGCTTAAAAAGAAACCAATTCACTTGAAACTTCACTTTATATATTCAATTCACACTTCAATTTTAAAAAGGGGTTTCAATAGATTTTTCTAAGAAGAATAGACAAGTGAATAAGCAAAATAAATTATGATGCGATTATACCTGAACTAAATGATGAATGAAAATCTACTGATGGCAAATTTTTGATAGAATCATTACTACTTTCGGAATCATCTGATGATATTTGGATTGGGGTATCGCACATTATTCAAACTTCCAATATAAAACTTATAGCGAATCGGTATTTAATGTTCTCTTTGGTAATTACAAACTAAACTTTTAGCCCACAACTCATCACCAGTGGCACAGAGAGAAAAATATTAATAAATCTAAAACGAGGAGAACATTTTGAAAATCATCAGCAGCAAGCAACAAACAATAAATATTGTTTTGAGTTTTGATTTATAGAATATCAATATCACAGAACACTATTACTCCTACGGAGATCAATATATATTTATATTTTTTTTTTGGAGTTTATGGCCTGGCATCTAGACCTTTAGGCCAATATATATATTTATATATTATATATTGATTGTTGTTGTTGTTGTCGTTTTTATTATTCCCTCGAGAGAGCAGCCAAAGGAACTAAGCCATACAGCCTTGTCTTTTTTATTTTGAATATATAGAATTTTAGAGTGTAAAGGCCGTCACCAAGTCTTATTTTTCTTCTTTCCATCTCTTCAAAATCTATAAAGGCCGTAGTCAAGTCTTATTTTCTTTAATTCTTCATATTTTCAAAAACCCGTAAAGGCTAAAGCCAAGTCTTCTTTATATTATACTCTTTGTAAGTTTCAATCCATGTAGATTTGTCAATCCAATAGTTTCAAAAACAGGGATACCATATTTCATATTTCTTTTACAGTATTATGAATAAAATTGCAAAGTGCTAAATATGTCTTAGTATTCCTAAAAACATCTTGCAGGGCACGCGGGACGCTTTCTGAGTTTTCATAAACTTGTATAAGTTTTTCAATGAGTAGCAATCTTTCTATGGCGTACGCTGGGCAGTTAAATATTATATGTTCTGCAGTCTGATCTGCTTCTGTATCGCAGAAATTGCATGTTGCAGATGCTACTATTCTCATCCTGGAAAGATGAGCGTTCAGTCGATAGTGGCCAAATCTAAGTCTCCACATTATTGTATAAAATTTTCTGCTATGATATCTTCGCATATCGTTGCGAGAAAACCAAGGAATACTTAATCCTGAATTAATTGATGCATACCAACGACCTTTTCCTGCCTCTAAAACAGCATTCCATTGCATTTTCCATTCTTCTTTTAACTCTTGCTTTAAAATTGAATATAAATCTGTATGTGGTATTGCAACATCGGTTATCCTGTCAATATCAGCTGTAACTATACTTTTAGCTAAATGGTCTGCTCTTTCATTTCCTTGAACCCCAATATGTGACGGAGTCCATAAAAATTTTACTTCCAAATTATTTTCTTTCAATTTCCACCACAAACTTTTGATTTCATATACGATGAAAGACGTTTTAGCATCTAAAGCTCTTGCCTTCAGTGCCTTCAAGACACTCATGCTATCAGAGATCAGTAACCATTTATTAGATACATGTGGGTGTTCTTCTATATTTAAGAGCAATTAAGACAGCATAACATTTCGCAGTGTATATGCTTGCTAATGCAGGAATGGAAAGGCCACGTCCAGTTTTCAGATGAGGTACCTATGTAAAATGCACAGGCTACTTTATTTTCAACTATTGAACCATGTGTAAATTTGTCGATATTCATCATATGTAGATATAAGTTCATAAACCGCTTGATTTCTTTTCAATTTTTCATCAATATTTATGTGTATATCACTGAATTTACTTTCATAATTCCCCTTATAATAAGGCCAAGTATGTGTGCTTTTGTGAATATTATATTGTTCATCATATCGTATCACTTCATGAAAGTCATGGAGTATATATGGGGCTGAGTTAGATATAGGAGACATACTATTATAGTAAAATAATACTTTTTGAAAAAGAGGATGATGAGACAAAGAATTAATATTTAATAAAAACCTAAATTTCAGATATTTAAACCTAAGTAAGATAGGAGGAGTAAGACATTCAGCCTGTAAAGAATCAATAGGAGTTGTTCTCATAGAGCCGGTAATATGTCTTAAATTCTTATTTTGTATATTTTCTAATTTGTTTACTAGTTTTTTATTTGATGCAAAACAAAGAAAGCCGTACTCAAAATACCAAAGACTTATATAACATTAATAATATTTCTGGATCAGCTCCCCAGTTAGTACTAGCCAAAGCTTTTAATACATTAAAGGCCTTAGAAGCTCTGTCTGAAATAGAATTCACGTATTTGGTCCAAGATAAATTATTGGTAAAAATTACACCTAAGAATTTTTTTTAAAATCTTTAATGATTATAGAGGGTTTGATCTATTAGATCATGTCACCCTCATAGGTACACAATCAAATACATATAATCAACAATGATAAATTCACGTAAACAATAATAAAAAATTATCTGTTCTTAATACCTAACAATACTAGTTTATAAAGTTTTCTAGCCTTATCCGACATTGGAAAAGCTAAAATACTATTACACAATCCAACACTATTTTTGTCAAAACCTAATAGTTTTCTATATGCTTCGTTCCGTTCACATTCCATCATAATATGGATAGTATCTTCCAGAATTCCACATTTGACTTAATAAATAAATTTAATTTAACACATTTAATACTGAATTGAGACCTCTTCCTCTAGTAACATGTTACTAGAACTAAAACTAGCCGGTACTGGTGAAGCAAAATCTGGCGTTAGACTGCGAAGAAGTGTTTCCGCTTTTTCTCTATCTATATGGTGGCTATTATGTGATCTAAAACCTTTCATCCATCTCATCTTTTGCCACATATCCCTAATAGTTGTTTTTTCATTTAACGAATCACAAAACCTCTCCCAATTACGTAATTTAGCCTGACGAATTAACCTCTGTGTGTATCTAATTTTGTCTTGGAGTATAGCTAAATTCTGAGGTGTTGAGTTACGTCTAAACCTGGCCAGTGCTTGTCTACGAATGGCTACTGACTTCGATATTTCTACATCCCAGTAAGGCTTAGGTACAAATTTAGACTCTAAAAGGGATATGAATGTCAGCTGCTAAATTCAAATTTTCTAAAAATATATTGTAACATTTTTGAAGGTCAGTAGTATATATTGGGAATTGGTGAAATAGTTTTTCAAGAGTATTCATGTCCGTCCCCGTCCCAATTTGCTTTTTTAAAATTTCTTTTAAGATCATACGCTAACCGCTTTTGACATAGAGCTGATATTTTAATCATAAGATGATCACTACCTAAAGTCTCTCGAAGTACCTTCCAATTAAATTTATAGACGATATCAGACGTAATGAGCGATAAATCAGGGGATGACGCTTGTAAGACTCCATTCACAACTCTAATTCGAGTGCTTTCTCCATTATTTAATACAGCAAAGTTAGCATCTAAAAGGGCATCAAATATTTGTGAACCTCTGTTATCAGTCTTGTACGACCAGCTTGAGTGATGAGCGTTGAAATCCCCAATGATTAAGGTTTTACAACTAAATGTCGAAAATAATTCATCTCAATCTCTTTGGCAGGTACGCACCGACGATGGACAATAAATAGAAACAATATTTTCTAAATCCTGACAGTTAAAATTTTTTACGTAAATAGCTTCTATGCCATCATTACTTAATTGCAAATGTCCCCTAACCGATTTAATAGATTTGTGTACTAAAACAGCAACACCCCCATAAGAATCATTTCTATCATTACGGTAAATATTATAATCTTTAATTTTAATATAAGTTTCAGAATTTAACCATGTTTCGCTTAAGGCTACGATATGTATTTTTTCCTGAGTTAACAAAGGCTCCAAAGACATTAGTTTAGGCTTAATACTTTGAGCATTCCACTGTAACATTGTATTACATTTAAGGTTTCTATCCATTAAATAAGTTTAAAACACTTTTCAACATTGGGCATTCCAAGATATTGTCTACAATTACCAAAATTAACCACTCAACACCTAATTTTATCACTTTGTAAACTTTCTCTTGCAAACTAAAATTATTAAAAAATATTACTTCCTTTAACCTCACAAGTAGCTCACTAAAAGATGTTTTACCAGAAGATTTGTTGTTATTTTCCTCACTATAGCTAGTATTAGGTTCAAATCTATTACTTCGTAATGACGTGTCACGCTCTGTATTTCTTTTCTCCTTTTTTGTTTGGTGTCGGCGGGACGAAGATACATTACTTTCACATTGACTAATATTATCTTCGTTATGCATAATAACATTGGCTGTCACTTCTGCAAAAGTAGGAACATTCTGGGTTGTAGCCGCTTCCCTCTTCGGTGTGTTATAATTATACATCGCCTGCTGGATGTTATTATGTCCTGTAAGTTTTACGTCCATTTCTCTATGTGGTGTTGGCGCAACATAGATTGTTAAATCCCTCCTTTGTGTGCAATTGAACTCGGCCATTAGTTCTCGCAACTTCCTTTCTTTAAGATAAGCAGGGCAAGACCTAGCTAAAGCCATGTGAGCACCAGAGCAATTGATACATTTGAATGTTTTGGTATCACAATTCTCGTGTTCTCCCCCACACTTGGGGCAGGCTTGTTTTCTTGAATGGGCATAACTTGCGAATGTGACCCAACCTCCAACATTGTGAGCATTGTGTAACAGGATATACATAAGGCTGAACAATTATTTTCATATCGAAAATATATACGTATAAAGGTAGGGAAGACCCTTTAAAACAAAGCCGTATGGTTTCACTTGGACACCAACCTTCCTGTTTCGTGTTACTTCGTCGCTTAAGCCTTTTTACGGATATTAATTCTGTAGAATCTGAGCAAGATATATTTTTCATAATTTCTTCTTCAGATATTTCTAACTCCACGTCTCTTATAATTCCATAAGAGTAGTTAACCTCCATTGCTTTTTGAATTCTCCATCCCATAGAAATAAATGTCGCACAGGTACTTAATTTCTTAACGCTTTCCCCGTTCGGCAATTGCAACCTTACTTTAAAAGGATTTAAATATTTAACTCTAAATATATCAGTTATTCCGTTTTCTTTGAATAACCATGCCAAAGCAAATTGCTTGGGCAGCTTTTCAATGCATGTAATATATACCTCGATATCCGTTTCTCTACGTAAGTTCTCATCCTCGAGCAGTCGTTTTTTCTTCACCTTTCCCTTCACAATACTCCACTCCTCATCACTCTCCTCCGTTTCTCTGATTCTTTTTATAATCCTAGGCGTATTTATATCAATACTATCCCGCTCTTCCACTTCTAATTCTGTAATATCGTCTTGGTTATATATAATATTATTGT